GCAAGAACAGCTTATAAAAAGGGGGACGAATGTGGTGCATGCTACTTATGTTGACAGATATAAGTAGTATGTGACAACGATCAGAAGTGGAAGACATATCCAAAGAAGGTTGGAAAAATTGAACTGAATAAAGCAAAAAGAAGGAAACAGAAAGGAGTTGAGAAAAAGAAGAATCATGAAGAATGTAAAAGACAATTGGTGGAAGATTTGCAAATGAATTATTTAATGTATGGTTTTCACATTTTACGAAAGAACTTTGTAATTTTGCGTTAGATACTAAATTGGTTATCTTCACATTGTCTTTGTTCACTACACGGCTAGTTTATACATACTGACATTGTCTAAATAAATATTTCCGACTTTCGGATATTGATTGTACCTATTATTATGAAGATTAAATTTACAATTGAACATACCGGTCAATATTGACAGTAGTGGTAGAAGGATGTAAATCCTCACTTCTGGCTTGTTTGCTTTTATAGTTATAAGCCTGCTCAGTAATATTTTATTGTTCGGTCGTCAGGACCGATCCAGTTATTTTCACAGAACCAAACAAACTAATATGCTCATATTCAGGTAATCATATGTGTATAATCAATTGATCACTGAGTAGTGCCCAATATCATTTTTGTCTATTCCTTTAACGGTGTGTAACTGAACTATTCATATTCGTATTTCTCTTATCATTAGCTTTATTTTGACCTTGACTTATTATCATACGATTCTTCAGTTATAATCAGTTTATCGATTACTTTGGTTTGTATAAAAACTCAGTGTGTTTGTAAATAATGATTCATACCACTGAGGCTGTTATTGGTGTTTTGGACTTAACTGGCTGGGCTAAGCAGATCGCAGGACCGGTTAGCACTCTAGTCTGCTCGTACGGGTTTCGTGTCACTGTTCCAATCGACAATTCGCTGCTCTCTAATTGGCGGTCTCATCACCTCACACATCAACTAGGCATCCACTCGGCCACAGATATAACAATTGACGACGGGGATGGGAGGACTATTTATTGGTCAAAATAAAGCTAATGATAAGAGAAATACGAGTATGAATAGTTCAGTTACGTAATAATTGTACAATAGGAAATAGGCATATTGCATTGATCCATAAATAGACCTAAAAGTTACCATTCGTAATTCACCAGGGGATATAACAAATGGTAGTTAAATTCTATCGATTGAATTGCAATATCTTGACTATTTTAAGTGAATTCATATAGCATATATCGTGTTTAGATATTATATGGCTGACAGTATTCAATTTGAAACCCTGAACTTAAGTTTTGTGCTATTCAGCACTCATCAACAACATGTGCCTTCAGTTTCCTGGTAACTAGTCCTCTCAGTGGTGTTTTAAGTTGCATCAAGCAGTACCAATCAACGTAAGTATTTCACTCCTATAAGTGGTCGACCGTGTTTCGAATAATTAAATGATAACCTTTCTGACTGTGATATGGGTTCAAATTCCATGGCTAACCCCACTTATGTCAAAATTACATGTGCACATTCTTTGATGAATGTCAACTGGCACGAAACAAAGGGTGAGTAGGATTTCCGATAGACTACCTCCAACAACTTAATATCAAGCGAACTTGCCATCTAAAACTATTTATTGATCCATATTGTATGTCGTTGTTTTATTTTAACCGTTTCATAAACATGATTCTGACAAATTTTTCTTTGATGTGTCCCTCTTTTTTCCCACCTACGAATCTAAAACAGAAAAGTGAAAGCCAACGAGGAAAGATTACGTAAAAAGAAGGAAAAATCATATACAAAACAATATCGACATAACCATCATCTTACTGACTTATTTTGATCACTTTTTTGTTTTCTATCGAAGTGTAAATATCACGATTGTTATTATTAATACTATTCCTCATATATGTGTGTGTGTTATTGTAAAAATAAATAAGTAGTATTCTATATAATTATTGAATTTTTTCTTTATTAGTTTGCTTGTTGTATATACTTGAATTATTTTTTTCTGGTTAGCGTTTTTTTTAGCGAATTAGCTTTTCTACGGGATGGGGTCGCTAACCCCATGCCCGACTCTCTTCCTTTACCCGGGCTTGAGACCGGCAGTAACTTTAGAAGAGCTACAGGCGGAGTTATATATATTTCATTATATTAATTTTAATGTTTACAATGTAACCATACCGTTATTTCAACATTAAAACTTTAAAGAAAACCTAAGGATAATCCATTATTAGATATTTTTCATGTAACAATATGACTGTGTGTGATCATTTTATCTACCTCATACACAAGTTTGTGTTCTTGACTTTAAGCTACACTGTAAGTGTGAGGGCTAGTGACTTGTACAGACTGGTTGCTTAAACCGAAATAGATGAATATGTGAAGTTTAAACTTGTGACTTCGTAATTGAAAGCGAACACTTCAACCACTGAGTCAATACTTCAACGTTATATGAGATAACATGTCAATTCGGTTAATTCGGTGTTTAATTGTCTTAAATCCGACTTATTGAATAACATTGCTCCTCCTTGTTCATCGATGATGCTACCTAGATACGTGAAAGTTTCCACCTCTTCCAGATTTTTTTCATCAAGTATGATTGGATTGGTGTTCTCTATGTTGTATTTATGGATTTTGCTTTTCTTTTGCGTATGTTGAGGCCTATTGATGCAGAGACTGCTGCTACACTAGTTTCCTTGACCTGAATTCGTTGATGTGTTTGAGGTCTGAGAGCTAGGTCATCTGCGAAGTCCAAATCGTCTTATTGATTCTGAGATGTCCATTTTATTCCGTGCTTCCCCTCAGATGTGGAGATCTTCATCATCCAACAAACCACCAGAAGAAAGAAGAAGGGGGAGAGTAGGAAGCTTTGTTTGACTTCGGTCCTTACTTGAGTTTGTTAAAGAAAGGCTGTAGTGAACATTCGTAATGCTGTTTGTCCAGTATTTCTTTAGCTTCAGTTTCATCTCGACAACCACCAGTTGGTGGTGATCTGAAGCTATTTCAGCTCCTCTCCGGGTTCTTATGTCTTCCATTGTCCTTCTGAATAATTTTTTGATGCGAATACGGACTATCTGGTTCTTTGTGGGGTGGTACATTGAGACCCATATAGCTTTGTGTACGCGTTTTGTGGAAATATAAAGTAGTCTTTAACCGATTTGTCGAATGCATATTGATTCGCAAATCTGTCACCATTCTTGTTCGTTTCTCATAGTCAGTCCATGTCGTCCCATGATATCTTCATATCTTATGTTGTCCACCCCGACTTTGGCGTTTAGATTTCATATCAGGATGATCAGGTTGTTTCCCGGGCACTTCGCTATGATCGATTGTAACCTCTCACAGAACTGATCTTTATCTTCTTCATTGCTATCATTAGTGGGTACATAATAATTCATTGTAATATTCATTGTAATTCCCTCCTTTTTTAAATGATGCTTTGATAATCCTGGATCCATGAGGTTCCCATCCTTTAAGTTCATTTCGTGCATCTTTGGACAGCATCAGAGCAACTCCTCGAGTGTGTGGAGCATTTTCATTTTCCTGATCGGAGTACAGCAGCATCTACCCCGTACCTAACCTTCACTGGCCAGCTTGGGTTCTATAGGTTTCGCTGACTCCGAGAACCGCCAAGTTGTGTCTCCTCATTTCCGTTGCTATTTGACCGGTCCTCACGTTCTCCCATATTGTCCGAACGTTCCATGTACCTATAAAAATGTTTGCTCTGCTTATTAGAAGGGACATTAGCCTCGTGACTTCCAAAGAATTTTGGCTTTCATCCTGAGGCGTCGTGGTTCTTCCTTCAACTGGGAGGCCAGAGGTTAAATGGTTTAATTTGTTTAATCTGGTTGGTGTTTTTCAGCGAGATCTTTTTCTACGTGATGGGGTTGCCGACCCCATGCCAAACCCTCCTTAACCCGGGCTTGGGAACGGCAGTAGCCTTAGAAGAGCTATATTCGGAGTAATATATTACTATATATTCTGCAAATAATTGCAGAATCGGTCATATTTATCGTTCTTCATCTTCCTCTAAATTTACTAGTTTCATTCCTCCTTTAAATATACTCTTTCAGGCTGCCTTTCTTAGCCGGATTCTCAATGTTTAGTCCTCTTAATCTTAATTACCAGAATGATTTCCTCTTCTTTACAAGGTAAATAATCCTGCTCATTTTATTTCTCAAAATGAAGGCGGTTTGACATACATATAAGTTGAATCTGTAACATTTGAATATACAATTTATTGGTTTGTCAATTAAGTATCTGTCTAATTATTATCGTGCCACAACCCGGTGATATGAATCACGTCTGTTATATAAAGGTAAGTGATAACTGGTTGTTAATTGATCATTAGTCAGGTGAAATTCAAACATCTTGTAAACTGGTTGTACATTATATTCCTAAACTGCTATGAACAGATCTATTCTGTATAAACTACAATTAACTACCAACTCATTTACCAGGTACAGATTTGTGTACCTGACTTTGAGCCACACGCACATAGATGGGAGGGTTAGTATATACTATTAGGTTTACTAAACCGAATTGGGTGAAGCGGAGAATTCCAACATACAACTTGATGATTAAAAGTAGGATGACTTAACCATCATTCTACAGCTACACTGTGCTGTAACGCTTGGAATAATTTTTGATAGTATCGGTTAGTTATTTCTATGATCATCATCTAAACTCTTGTTTGCTTAATCTGTGTCCAGTTATTGAAAATTAATAAACTTGGAAATGGATACAATTGGTTTTTGATGTCTAAATTATTCCTTACATATTTTCTGTCCTTGACATTTAATGCGAATAAGTTCAGTGATTGAATATATATCAAAAGGGGTTTTGTGGAGATTTCAGTATTTTCATAGTTGAAATCATGTCTAACTTCAACCAATCCACGTTGGATGCCGGCTCAGTGGTCTGTTGGTTAAGTGCTCTGGTCCTGGGTTCGAGTCTCGCGAGGCGGGATCGTGGGTGCGCGCTGCTGAGGAGTCCCGTAATAGGACGAAACGGCCGTCTAGTGCTTTCAGGTTTTCCATGGTGGTCTAGCTTCAATTGACTCATGATTTCAACTATGAAAAGATTGAATATATATGGTGAATACCTGAGTTGATATATTTCTCACGACCTCAAACCAAATTTTCATTGAATCTGAGATGATATTTAGCTTCAACATTCATTACATATTGATGCTCAATGGTTGGTTTAGAATTCATCAAGTTGTGACTTATGCTCAAGACTTGAAAGATTGCTGTGAATAAATAAAGACCGATTAATTGTTCAGTGTCTTTGTAGAAACGTGGTTTTTAATGGAAATAATAAGTAGTCTGCCTAGTAACTGCATTTATTCAGGTCTTTAGAAATCTATCCTATGAAGTTCTGTGTGTTTATTTATTTAAACACATAAACATTGGTACGAGGAGTAGCTGAATATATATGCGCCACACAAATGATTCAATGTGGTTTTCCAACTCACATAGTGTCCACCAATTCGATTAAACCACCGAATGTTCACTTTATACCCTCTCAATTTCGTGAACAACACCACTTGGAGAAGGCAGTCAGTAGAACTCTCGTGTCGGTGTCTATTTATGCGTGTCCATGTGAGAGCATTTGGAGGTAGAGAGCAGGCTCTTCCCACCCTCTACTGTATCAGGGCATTTGGGGGCGAATCTTAATGTGCATCAGTTCTATTCAGTATAAAATGCCTTTGCTCGTTATCCAGGCCTTTCAACTATCTTTCATATCGTAATCTCTTAAATATTTCGGTTAGAGTTATCATTTTGTGTCAACCCTGGCCCAGCTGCAACCATGCAGACAGTAAAATGGCAAACTAAATACACAAAACAACAAGAACACGTCATTCTCCAATCTATACTGTAAGTTAGCGGTTATCCTGGCGTTGCATCATCTCTCACTCTAGGTAGCTCATCGAAATGCTTGATTAGCTTAACAAGAAATGCGTTCTTCAATGCATTGCCTATATAAATAACCGTCAACAACATTCCAGGCATTGTCCTAAGAATTACACTCAACTCATATCAATAGTCTTAGTAGCGCACTTGTTGTTTGATATGCTACGTTGCTAACTTTTATACTAATGCTTAACTTATCGTTTGAATAACCTTAACGTTATCTTTCTTCCTTTTATAGATTTCTATCAATGTCACAATCCAATTCAACTGATCATACTAATTCATATAGTAATGATTCAATAAATCAAAACACAGAAAATCATGAACAGTTAATTCATTCTAGATTAGGCAGTATTGTACCAGAATGTGATACAGTAAAAACTGCTTATGATTTATGTTTTCAAGAATTTTTCCCGAAATTTCTAAAAGGTCATACCTATGAAACAGATCCATGTGAATCAAAATTGAAAATTTATCAAAATTGCCTCCGTGATGCATTGAAAAAATCATTTAATATGGATTTGAATGAATTAGATTCAATACGAACGGATGCTGAGACAATTAGAAAGATTACAAGTAAAGCAAAATAATCTATTCTATTTTTTTTTGTTTAACTCCTTCTGACACCTTCTTTTAATGGATATGGATCACATCGGGCAAGTATGAATTTTTTTTGAAGTAGCGATTAGAGCGTCTGTGATATACATCAGATGTAGTTTCGTCTACACAAAGTTTAGATTTTTATATGCTTAATGATTAGATGAATTCATTTGAATGAAGCAATTTCAAACAAGTTACCTAATGATTAATTGTCTATATTTATTAAACCCAGTCTCAAGGCCGGATAAAGGAGGAGGGTTGGGCATGTGGTTAGCGACCCCATCTCGTAGAAAACCAACTCGCTAAAAAAAAACGCTAAACAGTAGTTGTGATGATTTAAAACGTATGATCGGACTGATAGAAAGTTCAAGTTTGTGTCATTATATTGAGATTTATCGTACGAAGAGTTTATCGGATTCAATGTTAATTTAGTGAGTTTTTCTATTATCTTTGTTGTACAGTTCACGGATACAGAAGGCTCGTCTAGCTTTCGCCAACTTGCGTCATTTATGGCGTAGGCGAGATATCCGTCTAGTAATCAAAGGACGGGTTTACTGCTCAGCAGTTCGTTCCGTCCTACTTTATGACAGTGAAACATGGCCGGTAAGAATAGAGGATATTCGTAGGCTACTAGTATTCGATCATAGGTGTCTTCGAAGCATTGCTCGTATATCCTGGAACCACCGGGTAAGTAATGCAGTTGTAAGGAAACGGGTACGAGGTAAGGATGGCAAGTCAATTGGTGAAGTAGTGAAACCTCGTCAGTTGACATGGTTAGGACATATGTTACGTACGTCCAACCACCGACTACCCCGACGAGCGATATTTTATGGTGTAGGAGTAGGTTGGAAGAAAGCTAGGGGCGGCCAGACCAAAACATGGCACAAATCCATGAAGTCACTGACAAGTGGGCTACTAATTGACAAATTATTAAAAAAAAAGAAAATGTTTTAATGATTAGAGTGAGCATAGTGCGTCGATGTACAGTGTTGGCTCAACGACTTTCAGCCACTAAAGTACAAGTCTGAACCTCTCCCCACCTACTCAAGTTCAGGGAGTCGGGTAGTATGGCTTACTAGTCCTCGCACTTAGAATGTAACTCAAAGCTAAATATTCTGATTCTCATCCGGTTGATAAATTAATAATAATAAGGGACAACAGAAAGTCAACTCACTAAATAAAGATTGGTACATTTGCGTAAACGCACGCATTTCATTTATGCTTGACTAAACTTTAACGTTATCATACCAAAGTAACTATTACATATAAATATAGAACAGTAACTGATGACTATTCACTAAGAAACAGTATCTTGGCATTCAATGATGAGGCGATCGTAGTCCTCGTGTGTGAGAGGAGCTCACGTCATCTGTCTGACAACTATCGAGGTGATAGGCTCAAGCTATCGGATTTCATTATACTTCTGAAGTTGCTGAAAATCCATGGAAGTCTCTGTGTACAAAAACATCATGCATAAAGGGGGTATACAAGCAGCTCTCCGTTCTATTCAAACAGTGAAGGAAGACGGGGTTTGTCAATCTCACCATTCCTCTACAAGTTTGCCATCGATGCAATTTAGGGAACAGCTCTGATGGAATTAGATGAAGATTGTGTAGATCTGTTACTTGAAGAAAGATTTATCGACCTTGAGTATGCGGACAATATTGTCTTATCGTGTGATGATACACAAACTGTGAAAATCCAACTTACTGGGTTGGGAATTAGTATGTTTAGGGGTGTCATATGCTTCTCGATTTCTAAATTCAGAGTACTTTTATGAGGTGAGCAGAAGCCGGTACATGCGCCCACTCCTTGTGTTGAGTTGTCAGAAGTAGTGTGAAATTTCGTGTATCTGTATATCACTATGAGCAATGTTCTGTTAGTGTATTGGATGAAATCAACCTATGTATAATATAAATCAGAGCGGCTTATGCTTGTCTTTGCCAACTTAAACATGTTTGTCCAAATGTTAAAATTTCGAGACTGTATCGCGTCAATGACAGTAGTTCTGCTTGTGAAATCTCGCCTCTCTGAATTGAGCATGTTTAGAGACTTTGTTCAATCATCGTTGTCTCCGAAGCACTGGAAACAATAAGTCAGTAGAATTGAGGTTAGGCAGTGTGTAATTGGGAAGAGTTACGATAGCTTAATTGATATCACCATCTTAAAACACCAGCTTTGTTAATTTGGACATGTTCTACGAATTTGTATGTATCATTACCAAGGTTTGACTTGATAATTTCGAATAAATTGAGCATTGGGAAGATTGTTATTTATGTTCTACGAATGTTATGTCTGTTAATTCCACACCGTCTATTACTTACCGACATTGGGACAGCATGAAATGCGTAACGCTATTCAATCCATGGCAACGTCACGGTGTGGAAAAGATCTGCATAAATAATCATGCGCCTGAACTTTGTGAACCATGCATTTGTCCTATGACTAGACCTTGGGTAACTTCATTAATTAGGCTAGTTACTTATATTTTAGACGTAATCCACCACTTCAATATCGTTTCCAATAATCGTCAAAAATAATGTAGGAATATCACTCACGAAATATAGAAATGGATAATTTCACACGTTAGAATATGGTTAGTGATTGTTAATCTAGTGGTTTTCACTCGTAGAAGCATGATGTTTCAAAAAACTTGCGAAATATTAAAATATGGATTTTGTAGCTACCTCAAACATCAAACAAATAGTACTTCAGTGAATTTAGGACAGTGTTCTTCAGTAGAACATGAGTAGATTTCGTTTCTTGATATTCTCATCGGACAGACGCTCGCACTTTGTGGAAAATTTGTCGTTCGTTAGAGTTTAGACTGTTAGCTACAAGATATACGGTTAAATATTTCAACTAGTTTACACCCCAATGTAGAAAGTTATCTGGTTTAGAAAATGACCATTACCTCCTCATTTGTTGTTCATTTTTGTTTTCACAAACTAACAACATGTTGTTTGAAAATCGAGGAAAATGAAGGACATCTCTTGTTGTTTGAAAATGTTAGCTGCTTTCAAACTTAATACATGTTCGTGGAAGTAGAGTATTGATTTCAATATGCTTTAGTGAATCTCAAGTAAAGTAACGTAATCACTTTGACTCATAATATAAGTATCCTGGAATATCGTATTCGGTGACTCGCTCCATTGAAGCATTCAATTTAATGAAAAAGAGCTGTCATGTTAGAGTCAATCTGTTGACTATGGAAAATAGATAAATACTCGAATAATCAGTGCACACTCCGACAACATCATTTGAAATGATCAGCATCAGAAACAAGAGAGCGACTCTAGTATTTTTGCGCGAAATTCGTTCTGTGCGATTGGAATATATCAGTAGAGAGGGTTGGAGGACTCAGAGGATGAAGTTGAAATTGATTGTTAATTAATAGTGCGTACGATATTAAGACGATGTGATTGTATTCGTGGACATCTCCCGATAGCTTTGATGGATAATTGACGTTGAGCAACCGAACTTCCTATTAACCACTGGACACAACACTTATTACGCCCTCAATCTTTTCTGGACCGCCTGCATATATTCTAACATACAACATCAACACACGTACTCAAGCAACAAGTGTAATCAAAATAATACGAATAAGAGCTCCGACGCTGCCAAAATTATCACATTTACACTAACGAGAATACTTGGTGTATAAGTCAATCAAAATTTATCTAAAGAGTATCACAGAACATAAAAAAGTATCGAAGATCGGATTTAAGTAATCAGTTCCCCAGTTGTATCATGACGTGATAGTGCAAGTAAATGTGATTGGCCACTGAGTGAGGACAGACAGATATGCAGCTTATTGACCACCAAACATATGATTCCCTTTAGTCTTACTGATTTTCGCTCCACACCAACTGTATAGACCGCCTGTATGTGTGTAGAATACAGTATTGTCCAGCTCTTCTCTTGGTTGTGAATCATGTATATGTTTTGACGTGTTCTACCATGTGTATAGCACATCGATTAGGCATTCAGTCTAACGGTATTATAAACTCGGTCACCCAAATCGATCTTTTATTAACGTAAGATACCACAGAGACAAAAATATTTTAAACCATCCGTAATATCATCTATGATAGCGATTAGGCGGAGAGCACTCTAACCATCCATCTTCAGCTTACTTATCTATTGAAGATGTAGATGTCGAATAAACCATGCAAACTGTAATTCTGTTGAGAATATGCTTGTAGTGGATTATCTTCGAAATAATTCCTTAGGCTTTGTATATCAGTCGCCCTGTTATCGGGTTATTAAATAAACTTCAACAGTAAATTCAGTTTATGCGAAGCTCCAACCACAGTTTATCATTGTATAGCAAAAATCACAAACACACCAAACGACCTCAAGCAGAAATTCTGATGAGGGCGAATACAGGGAGGAACTAAAAGACGAAAAAATTGTTAAGATTCAAGCACATGCATCTAGGATGGAAAAATGTTCCACCTATCGATTTTAAGCTGTGTCCAAGCATATATGTTCTTATACAAACATGATAGTAATAATAAAGAGATATGCAAATTGTCAGTATTCGAATAACACTATCTGTTAAATAACTTAATAAAACGGCTTGGCAAAATTAGTAGTAGTAAAGGTGCTATAATAATTTCCTGCATCAGAACCGACAAACGTAAACATGTGAAAGATTTAGTAATGACAGCGGAAAAGGCTAAAAAAGAAGGAAACATAAGACAATTGTATGATACAACAAAGAAATTCGATCGATAATTCACTGCATTCTAATTGGTGGTATTATCACGTTATACATTAACAGGGCATCCAGGCGGTCACAAGTTATAACAATAATTCGGCTACAAAGGAAGTTGTACATTATCTTTTCTAAACACTTAAATGCTATTAAGCAACTGCTATAGTACATATACTTGTCGTTGTGGATGTCTAGAAAGCATTATTTTTAAATCATCTATGTACTTTCTTTACACACTTTACATAGTTGGCTACAACAGTTGAAAAAACTTTTACCTGAAGTGAAAAAGTTCTCAAATTCAATGTAGAGTAGTTCCATAAACCAACTCTGCCGAAAATGTTTTTTTTACTCTTCAGTAGTTTATATTGTATTTATTTATTTAAACACATAAATATTGGTACAAAAAAGCGCGAGATATATATGCGCCACACAAATCTCATTCGATTTGTGTGAAGGCTGTGATACTGCCCAGGTACCCAAACCGAAGCACGTGGTTTTCTTAGGGGGCCACACCCCGAGCCTTTTACCTAAAGATCTGATCCACAAGACAGTAGAGCATCGTAAGGAGATGCAGTCCCATGGTAGTCGGTGGCCAAAGATTGATTCATACGCCATTTGTCCCCTCAGGATACTGGAGCTAGCCCATGTGCAGCATTGGTGTGGAATTAGGATTTTCCAACTCCCCTAGGTAGACGCGCTGTGTCCACTGTTCCGGTTAAAGCGCCGGACATTCGCTTTTCGTCCTCTCTCTTTCGTAAACAACA